TTGGCGCCACTACCCATTCACCACCTTTCTTCCACAACTGCAGAGACAGAGACTCCTGAGGACATAAAAGAGCTTTTTGAGAAAGCTAAAGTTCAGCCAACCTTCAAGACCTCTACAAGATTGAAGACCCAGGTCAATTCTCTATTCCCTGTCAAGTAAATGGTCATTACTTTGATAGAACACTATGCGATTCTGGCTCTTGCATAAACCTCATGCCAACCCAAACCGCCAAACTCCTTGGCATCACACGCTTGCAACCTGCTCAAATTAGTATTGGACTTGCTAACCATACTATAGCCAAGCCAAGAGGAGTTGTTGTTGATGTTCTTCTAGAGATTGGAGATATCAAGATCCCGGTGGACTTTCATGTCATAAACATTCAAGGAGGATGTGACACACCATTGATACTAGGCCGACCCTTTTTGGCCACTGCTGGAGCTGTCATGGACCTTCCAAACCGGCGAATGTCCTTAGCCAATGTGGACAAGACAGTCTTTTACAAGACCATACCATTCATCGCACCAAACAAGCTGTCTTACCTCATCACTGCCCAAGGCCGCCCAAGAGAGCCACCAGACCACACTCAAGGTCACAATGAGACAAGAACTAAAAGACTATGTCTCAGGCCGTGCCCTTACCCCATCTCCAACTAAGAGATCCTATCAGTCAAGCTAATGACTCAAAAGAAGCGCTGCATGGGAGGCAACCCATGAAAGGTGTTTTTCTTTACTTTTCTTTTCAATTAGTTTTAGTTAATGTCTAGTTTTGTTTTGAGTTTTGGAAACAGGAATCTAAGAACCACACAATGGTAAAGAAGATATACCACAAGAAGAATGTCATAGTTGGCGCGACTTAGATGGCCGAGCAGAACCTCTCCACGCTCGCCCATGTCCTCTCAAGCCGCCCAACACACCATCCCATCTCATTCCATCTGCATCTCACCCATCCCACCTCACCACACTTGCATTCCATCACTACCATCATTCCACTGCATTCACCATTCTTCAAGTAACACCAAATCAGGTTACATCTTTCTTTTTACATTCACAACCACTTTATTACCTCTTTCTTTAACTCCCTTAATTGGATTTTCTTTCACCGGGACGGTGCAAGTTAAGTCTGGGGGGATTGTCGGTACTAATGTGTTTGTTCATGGTTGTTTTGATCTTATAATTGGTTTTTCCTAACCCACTTTTTCAAAACTTCTGTTTTATTGAGTCAAAACCAGTCCGGGAACAATGAACTTGCTTTGAGATTTGATAGTGTCATGCTAACAATCTATGACCCTAGAGCAAACATCAGCTGAAGGCACAAGCCTAACAGAAGCTCCTAGAGTGGATCAGCATGCTAGCTCAGCGAAATTTCTAAGGTAACCAAGCAATCTAGAGTTAACCTCACCCTTAATCAATCTTAATAACTCTTGTCAAGGGGATTGGCATACATGTCGACAGTTCCTTGCTTGATTTTCAATGAGATTTGTCTAAAGAGTTCACCTCTCTCTCCCATCCCAAATGGTAAGTAATGTTTATGAGAAAAGCTCAAAGAGCACAAGGAAAACAAGTAAGCATGAGGAATGCATATGTCTGTACCTTCATGTCTTATGGAATACTGATATCACCATATTTTACATGATTTTACTATATAATTTACCTATGTTTTCAAACGGTTTTTGCAAGATTCTTTGCCTTTAGAGGTAGTTTTCTTGTATTTGTGGGATTTGAAGTCTTTGTAGGTGAAATAATCAAAAAGGATGCAAAAAGGAGTAAAAGAGCCCTAAATCAAGATCCATGCAAGTTTCCAAGTCAAGAAGATCATTTTATCTCCAAGTGTTAGTTCTCGCTGCGCGCAGAACGAAGCTTCGGAAGTTTGGCCGCGCGCGGAGGAGTTCCCGACGTCCAAAAGTTACGATCTTGATATGGAAAGATAGATACTTGAGTCATGCATCACGTCGAAGTGGAATGAAGCCATTTGGATCAACTATGAGGCCTAGACTTATTTTCTACCGAGACATGTCCGGTAAGCGAGCAAACGAAGCCCATGGAGGATTTGGAGTGTCTAATGGCCCGAGCAGCAGCGCCAAAGGCCTTGATCGAATAGAGAAGAGGCCTGGCTAATGTTTGGAGCTTTCCTTGGTACAATGTCGGCCCATACACGACGTGGAGAAGAAGGCTTTGCTCGCGGGAAACTTTCCTTTTCCTGCATGAAGAAAACCCTACGCGACTTCGCCCATATATACATGTTTTTAGCCGCTGAAGAAGAGAATCGAGAGTCCAGTCCGAAAATTATCAAAGAGTTACGTGTGAGAAGAGAGAGAAGAGAAGAGAAGCCCTAGGAGATCGTCCAAGAAGAAGGAGGCGCCGCTCAACTCTTGTTCTTTCTTTTTCATTGTTTCCATTTCTATAAACTTGATCTTAAGAGTTTTCAAGGGAGAATCCGACTTTGTTTCATCAATAGAGAAGCTTTCTTCATCCCTTTATCTCTTTTAATACTTGCATAATGTTTACAATCATGCTTTGCTTGCTTGTTTGCATCATGGCCGAGTAGATCTCTTAGTTAGGCCGAGGAGATCTATGGTGGCCGTGATGATTTGATTGTGTTGCAACTTATTGGGATTTATCTTATGGATCTTCACCTTTACTTGAGCTTAATGCATGATTACTCTACCGTACATCTAGTAATCTGATCTTAGAGAAATAGAACCACGACAGTGCTGAATCTAGATCTCAAAACTAGTATTTGGTGAGCAATAGATCATAGCCAACGAAAGCTGAGTTATGGTTTATTGTGAACAATTGAATCTTGAACCTTGTAATGCATGTTTGCAATTCTAATAGCCAACGAAAGCTGAGTATATTAGGTTGTTTCAAACATAGTGGTTGGAGCCACGACAGTGGAAAAACCATACACTAGTGATTCATGTTCAAGACGGCTCTACACACATCCCATGCAACTATCTTTTCATCATTGCTCCATATGATTGTCCTTTGCCTAACTCTTGTTTTAAATTGTTTACAAACTCACTCACATTTCTTTTGTTTTTTTCTCATTCTAGGTCCCAAAACCACCTCATATTGCGAGCTAGCTACAAACCAATCTCACAAGGTGTTAAGTGAGAACACTTCCTCCTCGTGTTCGACCCCGACTACAACACGGCTGTGCACTTGCAGCTCATTAGTTGGGTTTATAAATTGTGAAAATTTGAGGCAATCTAAACCCGCCATCAAGCTTTCTGGCGCCGTTGCCGGGGAGGAGTTGCTTTTCCTTCACACCTCTTGATTCGTTTCAAGACTAGCTCATCTCATCTTTCACTTTTCTTTGTTTTTGCTTTTCATAAAATCTTAAAAACTCATAAAAATTTTACTTAACTCTCTCTCTTTGTGTGTTTCTAAGGTGCATGACAAGAAGGTCCAATCCAAATACAACCATTGAAGAAGATCTTGACATTGACCAACTTGAGCGCACACTTAGGCGGCTAAGAAGAGAAAGAATGAATCCAGGCGGAGAAGGCGCGCCAAATAGGCCACACAACCCGCCCGACCAAGAGAGGAGAGCCAATGATCCTCCTAATCCAGCAGAAGCTAGAGCTGACCAGCCAGCACCGGCCAGAGACGTTCCTCCACCAATCCGAACGCGCCCGATGCAGCTGAGCCGCTACAGCCACCTCTTAACCCGCCGCGACCACCACCGGCGTTTGCAAATGGACATCATCGTCACGGTGACAACCAAGGGATGCCTCAAGACCAACCTCACGCACCTCCAAGGAGAGTGCCAAACGCGCAGCATCCAAGGCACCAAACTATGGGAGACTTTGATTCGTCCGATGCTTTCTTTATGGATCGGAATCCAATCCGACCGCCTCTACCTCCAAGGAACGATTTTGAGATCAAACCGCAGATCATTGCCTTGGTGAAGCAAAACCAATTCCATGGTTTGCCCACTGAGCATCCTCTTGATCATGTCGACACCTTTGAGGAGATATGTAGCACAACTCGTGTTAATGGAGTATCGCCGGATTACTTCAAATGCAAGCTATTCACTTTTTCTCTAAGTGACAAGGCGCTAAGATGGGTAAAATCTTTACCACCTCAGTCCATTACAACATGGAATGAATACAAGGGAGCTTTCTTGAACCAATTCTACACTAAGCAAAGATCCAACTCTATAAGGAGCAAGATTTCTGGTTTCAAGCAAGATTCAATGGAATCATTCTATGAAGCTTCGGAGAGATTCAAGGAGTACACAAGAAGCTGCCCTAATCATGGCTTTTCAGAAGGTAACCTTTGGAACATCTTTTACAATGGGATTGATCATAAATACAAGCTTTCTCTCGATACCAAGAGCAATGGTAACTTCATGACCAAGTCGGTGCCGGAGGCTAAGCTTTTGATTGAGAATCTCGCTGCTAGTGATGCCAATGCGTGCCCTGACTACAATAGAGGAGTGAAGACCACGAGCTCATCAGAATCAACTCAAATCTCGGAGCTAAGGAACATGGTTTCACAACTACTCAAAAGCCGACAAGGAGTTCACGCCATTGAAGATGCCCTAGCCACAAATGAAGACACTCTTATGGATTTCATGAGAGATGGTGCTGAAGAGAATCTAGAGGAAGTCAACTACATTGGAGGAAACTATGGGAATAGAGGATTCAATCCACCATTTCGCGCGCATCCAAACCTATCATACCGGAGCAACAATGTGGAGAATCCAAATGACCAAGTCTACCCCAATCAAGGGGTGATGATAGGATTTTGCGTGTATGAGAGATGGCGCTGAAGTCTAGAGGAAGTCAACTACATTGGAGGAAACTATGGGAATAGAGGATTCAATCCACCATTTCGCGCGCATCCAAACCTATCATACCGGAGCAACAATGTGGAGAATCCAAATGACCAAGTCTACCCCAATCAAGGAGCGTACCAAGGAGGCCAATACCAATCTAAGCCTCAACAAGTATATCCAAGAGGGATGTACCAAGTGAAGCAGCCATTCACTTTTTCTCAAGAGACAAATCCAACCCAAACCGGAGAGAAGGTTGACGTGGCCTTGAAGAAATACATGGAGGAGCAGAGATTGATCACCAAGAACCTATATGAGAAGCTTGATCACATGTTTGGTGATCTAAGCAGCAAGTTTGGGTCTCTCTCTACTCACGTTCAAAAGCTTGAGGTGCAAATCGCTCAAACAGCCGAGGCTGCCAAGAAACAAAATGAGGTAAACACTCAAACATTTTGTAGTGTTGTCTCATCTATAGATGGCACTATTGTTCCTACACTATCTCAAAGGGAAGAAGAAGAAAATGAGCCTAAGGAGAGGCACAAACCGGAGAGATACAGTTGGGAATCAAGAAGAGCTTACAAGAGAAGACTTGAAGGCAAGCCACTACAAAAACAAGAAGATCCGGGGAAGTTTGTGATAACTTCAAGTATCAATGGCATTCAACTCCATGATTGCTTATGTGATACTGGTGCTAATGTTAATCTAATGTCTCTTGCACTTGCAAAAGACTTGGGATTCAAGGAATTCAAGAGCCCCAAGATAAGAGTCGAGTTTGCGGATCTATCGTTCATGGAACCGTATGGAATGCTTGAAGATGTTATGATGGAAGTAGGGGGTCGATCAGTCCCAACTGACTTTCAAATCATAATTTGGGAAGGCTCAAAGAGGAATCAACTGATTCTTGGAACCCCATTCCTTGCTACAGCTGGAGCGGTCCTAAACTACTTTGGGAATCATCTATCTTTTGGCCACATCCGGCAAGATATCTTTTTCCCAAGCGTAAATTTCAGGCAAGTGCCAAGTGCGACCAAGCTACCACCAGAAGAAGCCCCTCTCACGCCTAAGAAAGAAGCCGTGATGCACGGAGGAAGAAGAGAAGGAGAGCGCTACCCAAAACCAAAGGAGAAAAAGAAAACGTTGGAGTCGAGGCATGAAAATGTCTTTAAGGACATCAACTCCATCTCACTTCCAACCTTTGATGAATATGGAGCTGAAGAGGAGACTAATGGAGCACCTAATCTCTTTCACAAGATAAGAATCTTTACACCAAAAGATTTGGAGCTTAAAGGTGACCAATACATTGAAGAAAAGCTTGAGAGAACTATGAAGCTTTTCCCCAAGGCATTGGTTTTCAAAGATGATGTGAGAGACGACTATGGCGTGACAAAACCACTACAAGAAGCCACTGAACCGGAGAATGGAGTAGCTAAAGGGATCCTTTGCCCTTCAGCCACTCTTCACCACGATTGAAAGAAAGAAAAGGAGTCAAGCTAAATGACTTAAAACAAAAGCGCTTTATGGGAGGCAACCCATATGGTTTTTAACTATCTATTTCTATTTTGCAGGAGTTTTTCAAAAATCAAACAAAAATACAAAAATATTTTCTTAGGATGAAGACCCAAAGGAGACCAAACAATGGAAGTGTCCCACCCAATGAGCCCACCCTTGTACAAGGCGTTTCTCTTCCAAAAGGTAAGTAAACTCTCACCTAGTATTCATTTCTAATCACTCTTGATCTTCACTTGAAAAATCGTTTAAACCATTGCACTTTACCAAATATATTTCATGGTTTAACTTGATTTACTTTTGATGATTGGAAAGAATACATAATCACTTGTCAAAACTCATTTTCTCACTGAAATTACAAGAGATTGAACTATAGTTTGAAATTTGGATCATTAACCAAGACCAAATAAGAATTTATAGTTTGTGCTTTAACCTCTTGGATTGTGGACTTCAAGTTGGTTACTTGAGGATCACAATCTAAGAAACCATCTAATCATGATTTCAAGTGTTTTGCAAGGAGTTAACATTTGACAGGAAGGAGAAATAGAGCAAACCTATAACCAACCTCAAAACCAACATACATATGGCGGCCAAAGGGAGGTTAAAAAGAGATACAAAGGCCATCACACGAAACAAGGCGGCCACCACTTGGGAATGACACAGGAGGGTTATTAAAACAATTCGATCGAAGAAAATCTCAATTGGCCCGAGTGGATTTGAAGAAATTCAATCCGGCACATTTCTCTCGGCCATGACGCATACAAGAGAACCAATCTACGGCCAACTCCTAAACGGCGTGACCGAAGTCCACCAAACTTCACAGGCGACCATAATCACATTTGGTCGGCAAATCCAAAAGATAGGACGGAGAAATCATCACGGATCATGAGATAGACGACGGAGCTCATTCTGGCCGATGGCGCGCAAGCAATATGGCCGAAAACCAAATCACGGCATAGGCGCGCCAACCGGTTGGAAAACTCTTCTTTGAGCTTAACTAACACTTTTATGCAGGAAGAAACGAAAAGGAACGAGCCAAACTTCACATGGCCAAGGAAACTCCTTCCCGGAGCCGACTTGACCGTTTTGTGAAGGAAGTCTCAATCCGCTCGTACAAATGCTCCCAAACTTCACCAGAGGCTCTAAAATACCAGGTTGGTCGATGAAATTTCAATATAGGTCATGAAATTTTGACGGTTTGTTCTGTAGTTCACAGCACCACATTTTGGCCGACCGAATATACCAATCTCGGCCAAAACACAAACCGGCGGAAACCAAGGCCTGAAATTAAAAACTCACCGACCAATATTGCCTAAAGAAGTGTAGAATGACCCAAACCAGAACTGATCTTCATTATAAAGTGGTCGACATTTGGTAACATCATCCTAAACCTTTTTCTTTTCAATTTTTCATTTGAACTTCATGTTATGCCTCTCTTAATCCGATTTGATTTCACCGGGACGGTGCAAGTTAAGTCTGGGGGGATTACTAACAATGTTTGTTCATTTTGGCATTTTCATTTGCATTTTTCCCTTTTATCGAGTCGTTTTTATTGAGTCAAAATTTTTGTCGAGAATCATGACCTTATCTTGGATCTAACCATGGTTGTACTAATGTTTAAGTGACCATTGAGCAGTTCTTGGCAATACATCTTACCACAGGTGCACTATGAGTTGATCGATCTACCAAAAACGCCTACATCTCTAAAGACTTGAGAAGGATCCATCTTTGACTCCGCCCTTAATGAACTTAATCTTCTCAGCTAGGGGCTTGGCATACAAATGGCATGATTCCTCATCCTCTCCATCAAATGAAAAAGTCTTAGTGAGTTCGTGCTTCCCTCTCTCTCCCCTTCAAATTTAAAGAAAAAGCGTAAGGTCCAAGTAACCGGGGATTCGGTGGCAAACACCATCAATACTCGCGTCTATGGAAGGCCTATGAATCCAAGCAACCGGGGATTCGGTGGCAAACACCATCAATACTCGCGTCTGTGGAAGATCCAAGCAAAACCTCTATAATAAAGAGAAGGAGTTGAATAAAAAAATACTTCGCTACCCTAAAAAAGGGATGAATCAACTCAAAGAAGTGAGAAGAGAGAGAGGAGAAACATGGAGTAAAAGACAAGTGCCAAACAAGGGGATGAGAAAGAATCTAAAGCCGGCTGATCGATACTCCCTAGTTGAGACCACACCTTTAGAAATGAAAGGAGTCAAGGGTGGCGAATTGGATTGTCCAAGGAGAGGTGGACCGCTTTGGGAAAATCGCAAAACTCATGGTATGTACTTTGTTCTTAATTCAAAACTTGCCAATGCTGTTTCATGTGGATTACTAAAGCATAAGTCAATTTGGATTTCCAAAAGATTTGAGAGTTCTCACGTTTTCAAACCTCTTTTCCTGCTTAGTTTGCTTGGGGACAAGCAAAAGGCTAAGTCTGGGGGAGTTGATATCACCATATTTTACATGATTTTACTATATAATTTTATGTTTTCAAACGGTTTTTGCAAGATTCTTTGCCTTTAGAGGTAGTTTTCTTGTATTTGTGGGATTTGAAGTCTTTGTAGGAGAAATAATCAAAAAGGATGCAAAAAGGAGTAAAAGAGCCTAAACCAAGATCCATGCAAGTTTCCAAGTCAAGAAGATCATTTTATCTCCAAGTGTTAGTTCTCGCTGCGCGCAGAACGAAGCTTCGGAAGTTTGGCCGCGCGCGGAGGAGTTCCCGACGTCCAAAAGTTACGATCTTGATATGGAAAGATAGATACTTGAGTCATGCATCACGTCGAAGTGGAATGAAGCCATTTGGATCAACTATGAGGCCTAGAACTTATTTTCTACCGAGACATGTCCGGTAAGCGAGTAAACGAAGCCCATGGAGGATTTGGAGTGTCTAATGGCCCGAGCAGCAGCGCCAAAGGCCTTGATCGAATAGAGAAGAGGCCTGGCTAATGTTTGGAGCTTTCCTTGGTACAATGTCGGCCCATACACGACGTGGAGAAGAAGGCTCGGCTCATGGAAACTTTCCTTTTCCGGCATGAAGAAAACCCTACGCGACTTCGCCCATATATACATGTTTTTAGCCGCTGAGAAGAGAAGGAGAGTCAGCCGAAAATTACCAAAGAGTTCACGTGTGAGAAGAGAGAGAGAGAGAGAAGCCCTAGGAGATCGTCCAAGAAGAAGGAGGCGCCGCTCAACTCTTGTTCTTTCTTTTTCATTGTTTCCATTTCTATAAACTTGATCTTAAGAGTTTTCAAGGGAGAATCCGACTTTGTTTCATCAATAGAGAAGCTTTCTTCATCCCTTTATCTCTTTTAATACTTGCATAATGTTTACAATCATGCTTTGCTTGCTTGTTTGCATCATGGCCGAGTAGATCTCTTAGTTAGGCCGAGGAGATCTATGGTGGCCGTGATGATTTGATTGTGTTGCAACTTATTGGGATTTATCTTATGGATCTTCACCTTTACTTGAGCTTAATGCATGATTACTCTACCGTACATCTAGTAATCTGATCTTAGAGAAATAGAACCACGACAGTGCTGAATCTAGATCTCAAAACTAGTATTTGGTGAGCAATAGATCATAGCCAACGAAAGCTGAGTTATGGTTTATTGTGAACAATTGAATCTTGAACCTTTAATGCATGTTTGCAATTCTAATAGCCAACGAAAGCTGAGTATATTAGGTTGTTTAAACATAGTGGTTGGAGCCACGACAGTGGAAAAACCATACACTAGTGATTCATGTTCAAGACGGCTCTACACACATCCCATGCAACTATCTTTTCATCATTGCTCCATATGATTGTCCTTTGCCTAACTCTTGTTTTAAATTTTTACAACCTCACTCACATTTCTTTTGTTTCATTTTCTCATTCTAGGTCCAAAACCACCTCATATTGCGAGCTAGCTACAAACCAATCTCACAAGGTGTTAAGTGAGAACACTTCCTCCTCGTGTTCGACCCCGACTACAACACGGCTGTGCACTTGCAGCTCATTAGTTGGGTTTATAAATTGTGAAAATTTGAGGCAATCTAAACCCGCCATCAAATACCTTAGTCAAACAAGGAACAAGCTAAAGACTTATCCTGTGGTTGAAAGAAAGGTCAATAGAAAAAATAAAATGATACCCTAGAAAAGTAGGGAGAAATTGACCTTTCAAAGTTCTGATGTGAGAAAGAGAGAGGAAAGGAACTCATTGCACTTAAAGACAATCTTGGAGAGATCAAGTGGGTAAGAACAAGTTCAATTGATCGATTCCCTTGATAAAGAACTCACGCTTTAAATTTCTGCAAGAGGTTAGCAATAGAGAGTTTGGATTGCTGGATGAGACTAGTTGGGTTGGTATTGTTTGCTAAACTTGCAGGGTGTATGTGAAGCTAACCTTATGTTGACTATGTTCTTAGTGGAATACAGGAAAGGAACCTTTCACAGGATTTTCAAAGAAGCAAGAGAGTTCCACGTTTTTCAAAACCTCTTCACTAGTTTAGATTCTTTTTGCTTGGGGACAAGCAAAGATCTAAGTCTGGGGGAGTTGATATACCTCTATTTTACCTACTTTTTATGCTATTTTACTATGGTTTTCTAATGGTTTTCTAGTGGATTCTTGTGTTAAAAGGTAGTTTTTATGGATTTATATGCAAAGAGTCATTTTAGGTAAAAAGGTGCATTATGGAGCAAAACAGAGGATTTGGACTTCAAACCAGTTCAATGCCACTGCATCAACTTTGGATGGAGCTAGAAAAAGATCTACTCAATGGATTTCATCAAGACCAGTTCCCTGCGTGCTCTGATTGAGTTAACTTTCCAACGCAACTGGAACGGCCTCATTTGGATGAGTAGAAAAGGAGTTATAGCCAAAAGAGTGAAGACTGTCCAAAGCGCTCTATCGAGAATCGCGCCCAAACCGCGCAGAACGGCCGGCCGAGGAACGCATGTTCCGCTCTCGGCCAAAATTGCGTCCGTCCGTCTGAAGTCTCGGCCAAAGTTCAAAACCGTTCGGCCGATCACGCATCACGACCCGGGAAACTAAGCCCGCGGTCGGCCACGCCACAACCGTCCACGCCACGACCATGCCGCGCGAGCCGGGAAACAAAGCCTCGCGGCCGCGCAACCTATCTCGCGTACCACGGCCGATGGTTCCGTCCGAGCCGGGAAACACGTCCCACGTCCGGCCGAGAAACCATCGACCATTCCATCAACCGTCCGACCACACCGGCCGACCGTGAAATCATCCGGCCACGACCGTTCCGACACGGCCACAACCCGACTGTCCGGCCGATCGTCCCGACCGACCGTCCGAACGCCGCGGTCGACCCGAAGCCGTTTTTGAAGCCCAATCCGCACAATTCAAGCCCAAAGCCGGCGCCGACCTAGCAAGATTAGGTCTAGCCGCTTTTTCATACTTAGTGCATTATAAATACTTCTTTTTAGCCTTGTAACTCAAGAAGGAGAGAGACCACAATATATTTTACATCTTTAATAAAGTTTTGCTTGCTTTTACTTTGTTCTTGCTTGTTCTCTTTCTAGAGAGGATTCGAATCTCTGTTCTTATGAATATGAATTCGTGTTCCTTCTCTATGTCTGAGTAGTTTACTTGTTAAGTGATAGGAAGTCAAAGGATAGCATTCATGTATGCTTGATGATTGATCACAATTAGGGTTTTACTTATAATCTCCATCTTTGCTTATACTTAATGCTTGTTGTTAATCTGGCCAATTAGCATATGAACTTGGGTTGATTTGAGCCTCGACAGTGCTGTATCATTCGCCTGAACTAGTATTTGGTGGGCAACCTCTTTTAGACTGCGAAAGTTGATTTACTTGTAGGTTGTGAACAATTGAACTTAATCGAACTAATGCTTGATTTAATCACCTAGGGACATACCAAAAGTTTAGCGACTAGGTAGATTAACAAAGGGGTCGGAGCCTCGACAGTGGAATGATCATTGATATCACCATATTTTACATGATTTTACTATATATTTACCTATGTTTTCAAACGGTTTTTGCAAGATTCTTTGCCTTTAGAGAGTTTGGATTGCTGGATGAGACTAGTTGGGTTGGTATTGTTGCTAAACTTGCAGGGTGTATGTGAAGCTAACCTTATGTTGACTATGTTCTTAGTGGAATACAGGAAAGGAACCTTTCACAGGATTTTCAAAGAAGCAAGAGAGTTCCCACGTTTTTCAAAACCTCTTCACTAGTTTAGATTCTTTTTGCTTGGGGACAAGCAAAGATCTAAGTCTGGGGGAGTTGATATACCTCTATTTTACCTACTTTTTATGCTATTTTACTATGGTTTTCTAATGGTTTTCTAGTGGATTCTTGTGTTAAAAGGTAGTTTTTATGGATTTATAGTGCAAAGAGTCATTTTAGGTAAAAAGGTGCATTATGGAGCAAAACAGGAGATTTGGACTCTAAACCAGTTCAATGCCCCTGCATCAACTTTGGATGGAGCTAGAAAAAGATCTACTCAATGGATTTCATCAAGACCAGTTCCCTGCGTGCTCTGATTGAGTTAACTTTCCAACGCAACTGGAATGGCTTCATTTGGATGAGTAGAAAAGGAGTTATAGCCAAAAGAGTGAAGGCTGCTCCAGACGGCCATATCGAGAATCAGCGTCCGAACGCGCAGTCCGGCTGGCCGAGGAACGAATGTTCCGCGCTCGGCCAAAACCGTATCCGTCCGACTGAAGTCTCGGCCAAAGTCCAAACCATCGGCCGATCACGCATACGACCCGGGAAACATTGTCCCGCGGTCGGCCAAGCCAAACGTCACGCCACGCCGCGCACGACCAAGCGCGCGAGCCGGGAAACAAGCCTCGCGGCCGCGCAACCCGTTCGCGTACCACGGCCGATGCATCCGTCCGAGCCGGGAAAGAACGTCCCACGTCCGGCCGAGAAACCATCGGCCAAATCTTCTCCGCCGACCAAGCCGGCCGACCGTGAAACATCCGGCCCCGACCGTTCCGACTCGGCCAAAGACCCGACTGTCCGGCCGACCGTCCCGACGACCGTCCGAACGCCGCGGTCGACCCGAAGCCGTTTTTGAAGCCCAATCCGCACAATTCAAGCCCAAAGCCGGCGCCGACCTAGCTAGATTAGGTTTAGCCGCCTTCTATACTTAGAGCATTATAAATACTTCTTTTTAGCCTTGTAACTCAAGAAGGAGAGAGACCACAATCTATTTTACATCTTAATAAAGTTTTGCTTGCTTTTACTTTGTTCTTGCTTGTTACTCTTTCTAGAGAGGATTCGAATCTCTGTTCTTATGAATATGAATTCGATTTCCTTCTCTATGTCTGAGTAGTTTACTTGTTAAGTGATAGGAAGTCAAAGGATAGCATTCATGAATGCTTGATGATTGATCACAATTAGGGTTTTACTTACAATCTCCGTCGGCGAGCGGCTTGACGAGATTCTCCATGAGTTTGAGGATCTTCTCGCTCGAGGAGGATTTCTTCGAGCTGCGGGGTTTGTCGCTCGAGGAAGATTTTCTCGAGCGGCGTGGTGCGGACGGAGGGGGGCTCTCGTCCTTTCTTGGCGGAGGAGACCGTTGCGGCGAAGTTGATCTTCGCGGCGAGACGGATCTCTGTGGCGAAAGATGGGTTTCTTGTAGGGGCAGGCTTGTCCCTACCTTCAGCGGGTAGCGACTTGTCTATCGTGCCTGGTAGACTGTCGCTTAAGTTTTCTTCTGAGGGAGACGGGCTCCCGGTGGGAGTGTTCTCTTTCGAGTTCGCCATCGTTGCTAGTTCGTGAAAATCTAGATATCTTCAGATGAATAGCGAGAAGCGTTTCCAGCCCCACGGTGGGCGCCAATTGTTGAATCCGAGATAGCACTCGTCAAGACGGGCTATCTAAGATGTGAGTTTAGGAAACTGGAACGCTTAATTCGACTCTTAGATTATCAAGAAGATTACAAGAGAGCAATCTCGCTAACAAGCCTAACGAGATTATGGCGATGAACAAGAGGAGAGAGTAAAAGCTAATGTGAGAGCCTAGTGATTCTAGATGATTTCGGATCCTTTCTCCCCAATGGGGGGTCTTCAATATATAGCGTTGATAAGTCGGCCGAATGATGAATATTCTCCTTCAGGCGAGATGGAAAACTTCCTCTTTTGCGATATGGAAAATTCCTCTTGTTTTTGATCTTTTCCATTCTTAAGTCGGCATGAAGATTTATTTACATTTCTCCATGGATTGTGCCTTTCTCTTCAAGTCTTGCCTTTTTCTTGAAGATGTTAGGCCTAAAATCGGATTGGGCTTTGTGACTTTACTAATGATGACGGGCTCAGGGAAATGTGCTAATTTCTCCTCTAACAGACACTACTATTGGGATGAACCTTACTTGTACAAGAGAGGGCCAGATAGCATTTACAGGAGATGCATAGCTGAAGAAGATGTACAAGGAGTTCTAGAACATTGCCATGGGTCTGCTTATGGAGGCACTTTGCTACATTCAAAACCGCAAAAGGTTTTACAAGCTGGTATGGTGGCCTACTTTGTTCAAGATGCAGCAAGCTTCATTGCAAGTGTGATCCATGCCAAAGAAAGGAGGGATCACCAAGAGAGACGAAATGCCACTAAACCCATTCTGAAGTTGAGATTTTTGATGTATGGGGAATAGACTTCATGGGACCTTTCAACCCCTCAAACGGGCACAACTACATTCTGGTTGCTGTGGACTATGTGTCCAAATGGATGAAGCCATCCTGCCCTGCCTGTGACGCCAAGGTTGTTATCAAACTTTTCAGAACCATCATCTTTCCAAGATATGGCATCCCAAGGGTTGTTATCTCGGATGGAGGTTCCCATTTCATCAACAAGTGTTTGAGAAGTTGATGAGAACTATGGAGTCAAGCACAAGGTCGCTACGCCCTATCACCCTCAAACCAGTGGGCAAGTTGAAGTCTCCAAATTAAGGATTGAGTCGACCAGGCTCGATGAAGCACTTAGGCTTACATAGAACAGCCTACAAGACCCCCATTGGAGGTCTCCTTTCAACTTTGTATGGAAAGGCTTGCCACTTACCTGTGGAAGGTCGAGTACAAGGCACTATGGGCAGTGAAGATGCTGAACTTTGATATAAAGGCAGCACAAGAAAGAGAGTAATGAACTTGTTTGAGTTGGAGGAAATCAGAATGAATGCCTATGAGAACTCTAGGATCTATAAGGAGAACCAAGGCAGCCCACGACAAACTGATTCGCCTTAAAGACTTCAAGGTTGGGGACAGTGTGCTCTTGTTTAACTCCAAGTCGAGGTTGTTTCCCGGGAAGCTGAGATCAAAATGGTCGGGACCATTCAAGATCCATGAAGTTCTACCTATGGATCCCTCACTCTACTCAACCAAGAGGGGAAGGAATTCACAGTGAATGGCATAGATGCAAGCCATACCTAGGAATGACCCCCACAGAGGAGATCATCACTCCTCTTCAAGATCCAACCCCGGCCTAAAAGGTTAAGGTCAAGCTATGAGACCTAAAACAAGCTCACTTGGGAGGAATTCCCATGTCTATCTTGTCATATTGCTTTTCTCTTTTATCTCATGTTCTTGGCTAAGTCTAGCAAGGAACAGTTTTTGGAGAAGAAAAACTGAACAACTCGATCGAGCCAAGAGCCGCAAGCTCGATCGAGCTGAGAGAGTCGATGGAGTGCTCCTGATGGCCGTCTCCCATCTCCAGACCACGACCTTGCCTCCCAGTTCTTTGGGGGGCACTGAGGTATCCAAAACCACCCTTGTACATACCATTTCATATTTTCTTGCATTTGTTCTTTTTTTCTTGGTTTTGCCCTCTTGAATCTTTCACTAAATTTTCTCACACAAGGGACTGTGTGATTTAAGTTTGGGGGAGGGTTCAAGAGATGATTTAACCTTGTTTTCTTTGTTCTTAGTTTTTCATTTATCTTTTGCATAGAAAAACCAAAAAAATCATAAAATTTTCAAAAAATCCAAAAATATTTTCATCTTTTTGCATTCATATTTGTTAGACTTGTTTAGGATTGCATCTTCATTTTTCATTGCATTGTTGATTTGACTTTGAAAACTTGTCATTTGCGATTTCTTGAGTGCCCTGTTTTTAGATTCTTTTGTGCATTAGGGTGAGATTGATTGAGCAGCAAGAACCATGTTTATCTTGATCATATCACTGCATGCACATCTCATTCAACCATTGCTGTGATTTGATGCATTTCCCTATCTATTTGAACCATAACTTGATCTTTAATTACCAATGCTTGCATTTGATTTCAACTCATGGCTACCACATACATATCTGGACATTCTTTACCATTTTCATATCCCTCTTGCTTGTCCAGATAGCTGATCTCCATCTTTGAGACAGTTACCACACCTTAAACCTAAGCCTTTTCATTTCAAACCCCATATTATCTCTTGTGCGAATTGTGAGAACCTTTCTTGGCTTTGCTTAGCATAAGGTGTTGTGTTTAAACCGGCAGGGGCAGTAGTTCTAGTTGTCTAGTTCTCTTGGGATTGTTTTCAGGCTAAGTTTGGGGGTGCCAACTCGAGCTCGATCGAGTTGGGTGTAAAAACCAGAAAAGTGGTAAAAGTTGGGAAAATCCAAAGGAAAAAGAGTTTAGTTAAGTCCAGGGAGTTGGCAGTGTTAAAAAGGGTCTAGTAAAGGTTTGGGAAGTTAAAAAAGAAAGTAAAAAGGGTTCTAAGTAGAATGAAAAGAAGGCAAAGCCTCAAGTGTCAAAAAGAAAGAAAAGTTCCCTAAGTGTTTAGAAAATCCCAAACCGCTAGATGTTACCTCAAGAAGCCTCTCCCTAGGGTTCTTAAAAGAAAAGTGAGCAAAGCTCCTCAGTTTCAAAGGCGAAATGCCAAAAAGGGTAGTTAGGATTTTGTTCTAAAAAGCTCTAAGTGTTGAACTCGATCGAGTTAGGATTAGGCGGCTCGAGCTGCTGTTCTTGCATCATCTTTGGTTCTAACACTTAGCCTTCTGCCAAAGCAAAGCCACTTTCTTGAGAGATCCCTGTTACTAAACCACCATACAAAAGAGACCCTCTTTGTCTCTTAACCCATAAACCCTTGAAACCAAATGAGTTGATTGATCTTGCATGTTTTTGGTTCACTGTTTTTGCTTAATGAATGTTAAAGGGATTTGCTGATTTGAATGCATTGTTTGAGTGACTGTGAAGTGGGATTGATGTTGATAAGCATGGTTAAATCTTAATGAATATCTCTCACCTTGTTGCATTCTAGAATCTCTAAGTTGGACATTTAGCAAATCGCTTTTGAGGACATGTTTTTAAGTGTTGAATCAACTTGTTTTCAAACCTCATCTCTTTCTTGTTCTATTTGTTTGCTTGAGGGCAAGCAAAGGTCAAGTTTGGGGGTGTTGATGTACTTGCATTTTACATAGTTTTAGTACATCTTTTATGCATCTTTTGCATAGTTTTAGCATCCATTAGCATCATATCTTGTTCCTTTTCCTTCTTATGCATTCATAGTAGTTTTAGGTTGCATTTGCATACATATGCATGTTTGGTCCTTGAAATAGGTCTTTTGGAGCATTTGGAGCATTGGGACGTGAGGAGCAAGGAAGGACTTGGTGCATGGACGCAGCTCAACTGGAACGCAAAGGAGAAGAAGGAAGCCATCTTGAAGACCAGCTCGACCATCTACTCGACCAACCGGTCGAGTTCCTCAACTCGACCGGCCAAGCTTCAACTCGATCGAGCTGAGAAGTCAAAGTCAAACCCGAAAAATGTTGCTTCCCCCTTGACTTCCCTTTGACCCTAAACCTAATCCTCTTGTATTTAAAGGCTTAAGCCACGAAAAAACAACAAGCTTTAGCTTATTTTGTTTTAGCTTTTCTTTAATTGTACTTTTACTTTTTGCAACTCTAAGCCTCTCTTTGTGTTCTTGAGCTCTTGCTTCTTGAACCTTAGATCTGGATATCTTTGTATTTGCACTTGCTTATTTCAATAAAAGTTGTTTATTTCATCTCCTCTTTCTTATGATGTCTCTTTTCATTGCATTTGATTGTGTTTACATTCATGTGTAGTGAGTAGTTACCCATTAGGGTTTGAGATGGGCTAGATTAGAGGATCTTATGCTTAATCCTTTTGCTTATGTTCTTAATCTAGAAATCTCTCTCTTTTGGACAACCTTAAGGCTACATGACCACTACCCCTGGCTTGTATAGTCTAGGCGATTTCCACATGGAAGTGATGGAAATCGCTTGAAAAGGTCCACTAAGAGCTCCAATATCTCTTGCTCTCGAAATGGAGTTATAGGGTTGGATGGATTAGTTTGAGCAATGATCCTATGCCTCCAAGGCTTGATTCTCACTGGCTAACCCCCTGTTTCTGAGATCTTGCCTTGGTTGATAGCTTTCACCTTGGGAAAGGGTTAGCTAGGCATTGAGAAGCTCAATATCAAGAGATAGCCTTGATACAAGTTGTTTAAGAGCAAGATTGATTAAGTATAGCTTCCCTGATTGTAAGACCCTGTCTTAGACCCTAATTTCGCATTAGCTTGTTAAAGTTCTGCCTTTATGCTTTCCTCTGACCCTCAACTCGATCGAGCTCTTACTCTGTTCTCCTCGACTCGAGCTGCTTTCTTTACTGCTTTCTTTTACTTTCTGCATTGCATTTCATTTCATTAGGTTGTTAGTGTTACTTCAATCTTTACTGCTGCTTGACTTTCTTGTGTTTGCATATTCTAGATAGACAAATCTCACCCTTTGGATTGATAACCTCTTATACTACATGACTATGATGGTTAAGAGGAATTGATTGATTGTGATTGCACCATACCATCTCATCTTATTCACCACTGTTTGCATTCCACCTCATATCATTCATCATTTCATATCACCCACACACAAATCCTATCATCAATTTGGCGCCGTTGCCATTTGGGTTGAATATTGTTGCATTTGAGTTTCCAAATACACTTGGACGATCAAGCTATCCCACCCTGTTATTTGTATTGCTGGGTTTTTGATTCTTTGCAGGTGTATGCGAACTCGATCGAGTCGAACAACTGAAGACTTGGTCGAGCTAGATTTCACCACGGGTAGAAAGAAAGTCAGAGAACTCAGAGGGTACAAGAGAACCTGAGGTGCTTGTTACTGAAACCATGGATGTACCAGAGGGTAATGGAAACCCTTTGGGTAATGGACTCGGTCGAGCTAGGCAAACTCGACCGATTGGTCTAGGAGATGCTCCAAACCGCCATCAACAAAGACAAGGGATTGTCCCACCACCTGTGCAGAACCACAACTTTGAGATCAAGCTGGGTATGATCAACCTTGTCCAGAACAAGATGTTCCATGGATTGCCAAGTGAAGACCCCATTGATCACCTTGATGAGTTTGATAGGTTATGTGATTTGACAAAGATCAATGGTGTCTCTGAAGATGCCATCAAGCTGAGACTCTTCCCTATGTCTCTTGCTGACAAGGCTCACCAATGGGAGAAGAGCCTGCCCCATGGCACAATCACCACTTGGGATGAATGCAAGAAGGCTTTCTTGCTAAGTTTTTCTCCACCGGTCGCACAGCCAAGTTAAGGAGTGAGATATCAAGCTTCATTCAGAGGAACAATGAGACTTTTGCAGAGCTTGGGAAAGATTCAAGGGCTACACAGTCAGTGCCCTCACCATGGATTCAACAATGAGTCCTTACTCTCTACTCTATAGAGGATGTTTGGCAAGGTAACGAGAAATGCTAGACACAGCCAGCAATGGAAACTTCCTCAACCAAGATGTAGGATGGCTGGCAGCTTGTAGAGAACATTGCCATCTCAACAGAATGTTATGGAGAGAATTATGATAGCAAAGACTGGAGCTCAACCGCGCACTCGATCGAGTTAGAAGCACATATGCGAAAAGACTTGCATGCTCTACATTCCAAGCTAGACAAGCTGATCCTAGCTCAATTCCCTGCGAAGCAAGTCCACTCTATCTCTGGTACAACACTAGTTCAGAACCAGGAAGGGGAGGAACCACAAATTGAAAGAGTCCCTCCAAACAACAAGAAGACTATCTATGGTCACATGGCATACCAAGCACCTGCATCGTACAAGATCGCTCCGCATGGCTACCCAAAACAAGGCTTCCCACCCGGATTCCCACCTATGCCATATCACACTCCACCAAGTTTAGATTGAGATATGAAAGAAATGCTTCTACAACTACTCAAAGGGCAGGCCAATGGTGCATTGGAGATGAACAATAAGTTGGTTGAGATAGACTCCAAAATAGCATCTCTAAATTCAAGGGTACAAATTGTTGAGTCTTCTAGCGCTTCATCTTCTTCATTCCAAGAATATGCTCAAGTAGTCACACTACGAAGTGGTCGACAGTTACCTAACAGGATTGGTGCACCCTAAATTGCTGTGGACATCGATGACGAGGAAGGGGAGGGTTTAGTTGAGTATTCAGACATTCCTGCAACCAACTCGATCGAGCCTGAACATAACACTGAACCAGAGCTCGATCGAGCTAGTGAACCAGAAGCTCCGCAAGACAAACCTGAGCTCGATCGAGTTAGTCCACAAGTTGACAAAGCAAGTTTTAGCCAACCACCTAAGCCTGTTGGAAAGCAGAAGGACACCCCATCAGGGCCACCACCATACAAACCCCCTCTACCTTTCCCAGGAAGGTTCAAGAAACAACTATTGGAAAAACACAAGGCTAAGTTTTAGGAACTAATGAAGGAACTTGAGCTGAAGTTCCCGTTCATTGATGCTTTGAGGCTCTTTCCACCCTACCAAAAGTTCCTGAAGGATGCTGTACAACAACGAACTAAGGAGGTGCAAGGAACGGTAGTCTTGACTCGTGAGTGCAGTGCAATCATTCAACGGAAGGTCATCTAAACTGTCGTTTGAATCTAGCAATTGAAGACAAGCAATAAAGACAGGTTCTATATGTTCACAAATCGCCTTAGCATCAACTTTCGCAGGCTAAGGACGATTTGCTCGCCAATGACAAGGAACAAGCTAAAGACTTATCATGTGGTTGATAGAGAGGTCGATAGAAAAAATAAAATGATACCCTAGAAAAGTAGGGAGAAATCGACCTTTCAAAGTTCTGATGTGAGAAAGAGAGAGGAAAAGAACTCATTGCACTCCAAAGACAATCTTGGAGAAGATCAAGTAGGTAAGAACAAGTTCAATTGATCGATGTTCCCTTGATAAAGAACTCAGGCTTTAAATTTATGCAAGAGGTTAGCAATAGAGAGTTTGGATAGCCTTACATGATTTTTATGCTATGTGAAGCTAACCTTATGTTGACTATGTTCTTAGTGAAATACAGGAAAGGAACCTTTCACAGGATTTTCAAAGAAGCAAGAGAGTTCCCACGTTTTGAAAACCTCTTCACTAGTTTAGATTTGATTTGCTTGGGGACAAGCAAAGATCTAAGTCTGGGGGAGTTGATATACCTCTCTTTTACATGATTTTTATGCTATTTTACTATGGTTTTCTAATCGTTTTCTAGTGGATTCTTGCGTTAAAAGGTAGTTTTTATGGATTTATATTGCAAAGAGTCATTCTAGGTAAAAAGGTGCATTATGGAGCAAAACAGAGGTTTTGGACTTCAAACCAGGCTCTACACACATCCCATGCAACTATCTTTTCATCATTGCTTCATATGATTGTCCTTTGCCTAACTCTTGTTTTAAATTTTTTACAAACTCATTCACACTTTCTTTGTTTCATTTTCTCATTCTAGGTATCAAAACCACCTCATATTGCGAGCTAGCTACAAACCGATCTCATAAGGTGTTAAGTGAGAACACTTCCTCCTCGTGTTCGACCCCGACTACAACACGGCTGTGCACTTGCAGCTCATTAGTTGGGTTTACAAATTGTGAAAATTTGAGGCAATCTAAACCCGCCATCAAATACCTTAGTCAAACAAGGAACAAGCTAAAGACTTATCCTGTGGTTGAAAGAAAGGTCAATAGAAAAAATAAAATGATACCCTAGAAAAGTAGGGAGAAATTGACCTTTCAAAGTTCTGATGTGAGAAAGAGAGAGGAAAGGAACTCATTGCACTTCAAAGACAATCTTGGAGAAGATCAAGTGGGTAAGAACAAGTTCAATTGATCGATTTTCCCTTGATAAAGAACTCACGCTTTAAATTTATGCAAGAGGTTAGCAATAGAGAGTTTGGATTGCTGGATGAGACTAGTTGGGTTGGTATTGTTGCTAAACTTGCAGGGTGTATGTGAAGCTAACCTTATGTTGACTATGTTCTTAGTGGAATACAGGAAAGGAACCTTTCACAGGATTTTCAAAGAAGCAAGAGAGTTCCCACGTTTTTCAAAACCTCTTCACTAGTTTAGATTCTTTTTGCTTGGGGACAAGCAAAGATCTAAGTCTGGGGGAGTTGATATACCTCTATTTTACCTACTTTTTATGCTATTTTACTATGGTTTTCTAATGGTTTTCTAGTGGATTCTTGTGTTAAAAGGTAGTTTTTATGGATTTATAGTGCAAAGAGTCATTTTAGGTAAAAAGGTGCATTATGGAGCAAAACAGAGGATTTGGACTCTAAACCAGTTCAATGCCCTGCATCAACTTTGGATGGAGCTAGAAAAAGATCTACTCAATGGATTTCATCAAGACCAGTTCCCTGCGTGCTCTGATTGAGTTAACTTTCCAACGCAACTGGAACGGCCTCATTTGGATGAGTAGAAAAGGAGTTATAGCCAAAAGAGTGAAGACTGCTCCAGACGGCTCTATCGAGAATCAGCGCCCGAACCGCGCAGTCCGGCTGGCCGAGGAACGCATGTTCCGCGCTCGGCCAAAATCGTTCCGTCCGTCTGAAGTCTCGGCCAAAGTTCAAACCGTTCGGCCGATCACGCATCACGACCCGGGAAACTAAGTCCCGCGGTCGGCCACGCCACAACCGCCACGCCACGCAGCGCGAGCCGGGAAACAAAGCCTCGCGGCCGCGCAACCTTCGCGTACCACGGCCGATGCATCCGTCCGAGCCGGGAAAGAACGTCCCACGTCCGGCCGAGAAACCATCGGCCAAATCTTCACCGCCGACCAAGCCGGCCGACCGTGAAACATCCGGCCACGACCGTTCCGACTCGCCCAAGACCCGACTGTCCGGCCGACCGTCCCGACCGACCGTCCGAACGCCGCGGTCGACCCGAAGCCGTTTTTGAAGCCCAATCCGCACAATTCAAGCCCAAAGCCGGCGCCGACCTAGCTAGATTAGGTCTAGCCGCTTTTTCATACTTAGTGCATTATAAATACTTCTTTTTAGCCTTGTAACTCAAGAAGGAGAGAGACCACAATATACTTTACATCTTTAATAAAGTTTTGCTTGCTTTTACTTTGTTCTTGCTTGTTACTCTTTCTAGAGAGGATTCGAATCTCTGTTCTTATGAATATGAATTCGTGTTCCTTCTCTATGTCTGAGTAGTTTACTTGTTAAGTGATAGGAAGTCAAAGGATAGCATTCATGTATGCTTGATGATTGATCACAATTAGGGTTTTACTTATAATCTCCATCTTTGCTTATACTTAATGCTTGTTGTTAATCTGGCCAATTAGCATATGCCTTTAGGTTGATTTGAGCCTCGACAGTGCTGTATCATTCGCCTGAACTAGTATTTGGTGGGCAATCTCTTTTAGACTGCGAAAGTTGATCTACTTGTAGGTTGTGAACAATTGAACTTAATCGAACTAATGCTTGATTTAATCACCTAGGGACATACCAAAAGTTTAGCGACTAGGTAGATTAACAAAGGGGTCGGAGCCTCGACAGTGAATGATCATTGATATCACCATATTTTACATGATTTTACTATATATTTACCTATGTTTTCAAACGGTTTTTGCAAGATTCTTTGCCTTTAGAGGTAGTTTTCTTGTATTTGTGGGATTTGAAGTCTTTGTAGGTGAAATAATCAAAAAGGATGCAAAAAGGAGTAAAAGAGCCCTAAATCAAGATCCATGCAAGTTTCCAAGTCAAGAAGATCATTTTATCTCCAAGTGTTAGTTCTCGCCAGCGCGCAGAACGAAGCTTCGGAAGTTTGGCCGCGCGCGGAGGAGTTCCCGACGTCCAAAAGTTACGATCTTGATATGGAAAGATAGATACTTGAGTCATGCATCACGTCGAAGTGGAATGAAGCCATTTGGATCAACTATGAGGCCTAGACTTATTTTCTACCGAGACATGTCCGGTAAGCGAGTAAACGAAGCCCATGGAGGATTTGGAGTGTCTAATGGCCCGAGCAGCAGCGCCAAAGGCCTTGATCGAATAGAGAAGAGGCCTGGCTAATGTTTGGAGCTTTCCTTGGTACAATGTCGGCCCATACACGACGTGGAGAAGAAGGCTCGGCGCATGAGAAACTTTCCTTTTTCAGCATGAAGAAAACCCTACTCGACTTCGCCCATATATACATGTTTTTAGCCGCTGAGCAAAGAGTCTAGAGTGTGTGAGAAAATTGCGCCGTCAGAGAAGAAGAGGAAACCCCAGAAGAAAGAAGAGAAGCCTCCTCGGATCCAAGCCGCACACGCGAACACGCAAAACTCGTTACATCTTTGTTCTTGTTTCACTTTTGTTTTCCGGATTTTGGAGTTAAAAGGAAGGATTCGACTTTTCATCAATAGAGAAGCTTTCTTCATCCCTTTTTCTCTTTAATATTCGCATGATGCTTTCATTCAAATCTTGTTTGTTTGTTTGCACCATGGCCGAGTAGATCCCTTACTAGGCCGTGGTGGATCAATGAGTGCATGAATCTATAAATGAGATCTTGTGAATTGGGATATCTTTGAGTTCTTCACCTTTACTTGAGCATAATGCCGTTTGCTTTTCTGATCATCTAGCATCGGATCTAGGGTTAATATACTCTCCAAAAGCTTGCTATATTGCCGGAACTAGTATTTGGTGAGCGATAGTCACGGCCAACGAAAGTTGAGTTGTGGAGTATTGTGAACAATTAAATCTTGAACCTTTAATGCATGTTTGCAATTCTAATAACCAACGAAAGCTGAGTCTATTAGGTTGTTTAAACATAGTAGTTGGAGCCACGAAAGTGGAAAACTATATCTTAGTGATTTAAGTTCAAGAACGGCCTATAATGAATATCTTTCACTTGACTTCTTTGCCTAAGTTTGTTGCATCTCGGCGATCCACCATTGTCTAGTGTTTCCCCTTATTGATCTCATCATTTCCATTTATTCATTATTGCCAAAACACTCTAAACCATATTTTGCTTTAGCTCGATTCAACTCTACTCTTGTAGCACAATCGATAGGTCCTTGTGGATTCGATCCCATACTATACTTACCTCGTTGCTGTGCACTTGCAGGTACTTAAGTTGGGTAAAACTTGAAGACAAACCCAGCTTGCATCAAGTTTTTGGCGCTGTTGCCGGGGACCTTCTTGTCTACAAGATCGGACGAGAATCTAGACTAAAGCGCATTTTACACTTTTTGTTATTTTGTTCTTTTTGTAGGCACAACTTGAGCGTGCCATGGCTGGAGAAATACGTGACCAGCAACCAAATCCTTGGAGGAACCATCTTGATGAGCCGCCTTTGGACGAGGTCCGAGACCGCATACCACGAGAAGGCCTTGGATCGGAGCTTAACCAAGCTGATAGGCTACACCGAGGAGACTTAGGCGATCACCAAGGAGGGGAGAACCAAGAGACCGTAGGAGACAGTGACTCTAGACCAGAGCTTCTCCAAAGCCGTAGCCCTATCCGGACTTACGAGGGCCACCAGTTTGAGATCAAGCCGCGAGTCATTGCTTTGGTAAAACAAAGTCAATACCACGGGCTTATCAAAGAGGATCCGTTGGATCATAAAAAACTTGATGGAGGCTGGGTTTAGCTTCCTTCAAATGATAATATTAACCCAACCTACACAACTGCAAGTGCACAGCAAAAGAGTAGTATAGTTCGGGGTCGAACCACAAGGGAGATGTTATTTCACTTCAAACTTATGTAGACTGAAATTCAAGCTAGAACAAAATATGAGATGTTGTGTGTAGCAAAGCAAAAGAGAACAAAGCAATGATTAGAATGAGGTGTAAACAATAAGGGAAAAGTACTAGGCATTAGGCAAATCGCAAAGCATCACAAATTATCAACAAACAATCAAGTGAAGGGATTCATTATCATTCTTGAACTCAAATCACTAAGGTATAGTCTTTCCACTTTCGTGGCTCCAACCACTATGTTTAAACAACCTAATAGACTCAGCTTTCGTTGGTTATTACAAGTTGTAAACATGCATTACAAGGTTCAAGATTCAATTGTTCACAATAGTCCATAACTCAACTTTCGTTGGCCATGACCTATTGCTCACCAAATACTAGTTCCGGCAATATAGCAAGCTTTTGGAGAGTATATTAACCCAAGATCCGATGCTAGATGATCAGAAAAGCAAACGGCATTATGCTCAAGTAAAGGTGAAGAACTCAAAATATAATCCCAATCACAAGATCAAAAGATTAAAGTTCAATTCATGAACTCATTGATTCCATTAGCCTAGCAAAGATCTACTCGGCCATGATGCAAACAACACAACAAGTTATGATTGAAAGCATTATGCAAGTATTAAAAGAGTAAAGGGATGAAGAAAGCTTCTCTATTGATGAACAAAGTCGGATTCTCCCTTGAAACTCTTAGATCCAATACAAAAGAATGAGAAGAAAAGAAAACAAAGGTTGTATGTTGTGCTAAGGGTCTTGAACGGCGCCTCCTTTCTCTTCCTCTGGACGGCGCAGCTTCTTCTGGCTTCTCTCTCTGACGGCCAACCCTAGAAACCCTCGACTCTCCTTTGTTTTGAGGCTAAAAACATGTATATAGGTTGTAGTCGGTAGGGTTTTCTTCATGCCGGAAAAGGAAAGTTTCCCATGAGCCGAGCCTTCTTCTCCACGTCGTGTATGGGCCGACATTGTACCAAGGAAAGCTCCAAACATTAGCCAGGCCTCTTCTTATTCGATCAAGGCCTTTGGCGCTGCTGCTCGGGCCATTAGACACTCCAAATCCTCCATGGGCTTCGTTTGCTCGCTTACCGGACATGTCTCGGTAGAAAATAAGTTCTAGGCCTCATAGTTGATCCAAATGGCTTCATTCCACTTCGACGTGATGCATGACTCAAGTATCTATCTTTCCATATCAAGATCGTAACTTTTGGACGTCGGGAACTCCTCCGCGCGCGGCCAAACTTCCGAAGCTTCTAGCGAGAACTAACACTTGGAGATAAAATGATCTTCTTGACTTGGAAACTTGCATGGATCTTGTTTAGGGCTCTTTTACTCCTTTTTGCATCCTTTTTGATTATTTCACCTACAAAGACTTCAAATCCCACAAATACAAGAAAACTACCTCTAAAGGCAAAGAATCTTGCAAAAACCGTTTGAAAACATAGGTAAATATATAGTAAAATCATGTAAAATATGGTGATATCAACTCCCCCAGACTTAGCCTTTTGCTTGTCCCCAAGCAAACTAAGCAGGAAAAGAGGTTTGAAAACGTGAGAACTCTCAAATCTTTTGGAAATCCAAATTGACTTATGCTTTAGTAATCCACATGAAACAGCATTGGCAAGTTTTGAATTAAGAACAAAGTACATACCATGAGTTTTGCGATTTTCCCAAAGCGGTCCACCTCTCCTTGGACAATCCAATTCGCCACCCTTGACTCCTTTCATTTCTAAAGGTGTGGTCTCAACTAGGGAGTATCGATCAGCCGGCTTTTAGACTCTTTACTCATCCCCTTGTTTGGCACTTGTCTTTTTACTCCATGTTTCTCCTCTCTCTCTTCTCACTTCTTTGAGTTGATTCATCCCTTTTTTAGGGTAGCGAAGTATTTTTTTATTCAACTCCTTCTCTTTATTATAGAGGTTTTGCTTGGATCTTCCACAGACGCGAGTATTGATGGTGTTTGCCACCGAATCCCCGGTTGCTTGGATTCATAGGCCTTCCATAGACGCGAGTATTGATGGTGTTTGCCACCGAATCCCCGGTTACTTGGACCTTACGCTTTTTCTTTAAATTTGAAGGGGAGAGAGAGGGAAGCACGAACTCACTAAGACTTTTTCATTTGATGGAGAGGATGAGGAATCATGCCATTTGTATGCCAAGCCCCTAGCTGAGAAGATTAAGTTCATTAAGGGCGGAGTCAAAGATGGATCCTTCTCAAGTCTTTAGAGATGTAGGCGTTTTTGGTAGATCGATCAACTCATAGTGCACCTGTGGTAAGATGTATTGCCAAGAACTGCTCAATGGTCACTTAAACATTAGTACAACCATGGTTAGATCCAAGATAAGGTCATGATTCTCGACAAAAATTTTGACTCAATAAAAACGACTCGATAAAAGGGAAAAATGCAAATGAAAATGCCAAAATGAACAAACATTGTTAGTAATCCCCCCAGACTTAACTTGCACCGTCCCGGTGAAATAAATCGGATTAAGAGAGGCATAACATGAAGTTCAAATGAAAAATTGAAAAGAAAAAGGTTTAGGATGATGTTACCAAATGTCGACCAATTTATAATGAAGATCAGTTCCGGTTTGGGTCATTCTACACTTCTTTAGGCAATATTGGTCGGTGAGTTTTTAATTTCAGGCCTTGGTTTCCGCCGGTTTGTGTTTTGGCCGAGATTGGTATATTCGGTCGGCCAAAATGTGGTGCTGTGAACTACAGAACAAACCGTCAAAATTTCATGACCTATATTGAAATTTCATCGACCAACCTGGTATTTTATGAGCCTCTGGTGAAGTTTGGGAGCATTGTACGAGCGGGATTGAGACTTCCTTCACAAAATGGTCAAGTCGGCTCCGGGAAGGAGTTTCCTTGGCCATGTGAAGTTTGGCTCGTTCCTTTTCGTTTCTTCCTGCATAAAAGTGTTAGTTAAGCTCAAAGAAGAGTTTTCCAACCGGTTGGCGCGCCTATGCCGTGATTTGGTTTTGTCGGCCATATTGCTTGCGCGCCATCGGCCAGAATGAGCTCCGTCGTCTATCTCATGATCCGTGATGATTTCTCCGTCCTATCTTTTGGATTTGCCGACCAAAATGTGATTTTATGGTCGCCTGTGAAGTTTGGTGGACTTTGGTCACGCCGTTTAGGAGTTGGCCGTAGTTGGCTTCCTTGTGCGCGGTATGGCCGAGAGAAATGTACTGGATTGAATTTCTTCAAATCCACTCGGGCCAATTGAGATTTTCTTCGACCGAATTGTTTTAATAACCCTCCTGTGTCATTCCCAAGTGGTGGCCGCCTTGTTTCGTGTGATGGCCTGTGTATCTCCTTGTAACCTCCCTTTGGCCGCCATATGCATGTTGGTTTTGAGGTTGGTTATAGGTTTGCTCTAGTTCTCCTTCCTGTCAAATTCTTAACTCCTTGAAAAACACTTGAAATCACTTATTAGATGGTTTCTTAGATTGAGATCCTCAAGTAACCAACTTGAAGTTCACAATCCAAGAGAGTAATGTATAAACTATAAACACTTTTTGGGTCTTGGTTAATGATCCCAAACTTCAAATTATGAGATGTTGTGTGTAGCAAAGCAAAAGAGAACAAAGCAATGATTAGAATGAGGTGTGAACAATAGGGAAAAGTACTAGGCATTAGGCAAATCGCAAAGCATCACAAATTATCAACAAACAATCAAGTGGAAGGGATTCATTATCATTCTTGAACTCAAATCACTAAGGTATAGTCTTTCCACTTTCGTGGCTCCAACCACTATGTTTAAACAACCTAATAGACTCAGCTTTCGTTGGTTATTACAAGTTGTAAACATGCATTACAAGGTTCAAGATTCAATTGTTCACAATAGTCCATAACTCAACTTTCGTTGGCCATGACCTATTGCTCACCAAATACTAGTTCCGGCAATATAGCAAGCTTTTGGAGAGTATATTAACCCAAGATCCGATGCTAGATGATCAGAAAAGCAAACGGCATTATGCTCAAGTAAAGGTGAAGAACTCAAAATATAATCCCAACTCACAAGATCAAAAGATTAAAGTTGACAATTCATGAACTCATTGATTTACCATTAGCCTAGCAAAGGATCTACTCAGCCATGATGCAAACAACACAACAAGTTATGATTGAAAGCATTATGAAAGTATTAAAAGAGGTAAAGGGATGAAGAAAGCTTCTCTATTGATGAACAAAGTCGGATTCTCCCTTGAAACTCTTAGATCCAATACAAAAGAATGAGAAGAAAAGAAAACAAAGGTTGTATGTTGTGCTAAGGGTCTTGAACGGCGCCTCCTTTCTCTTCCTCTGGACGGCGCAGCTTCTTCTGGCTTCTCTCTCTGACGGCCAACCCTAGAAACCCTCGACTCTCCTTTGTTTTGAGGCTAAAAACATGTATTTATAGGTTGTAGGTCGGTTAGGGCATTGAAGTGCTGGAAAAGGAAAGTTTCCCATGAGCCAAGCCTTCTTCTCCACGTCGTGTATGGGCCGACATTGTACCAAGGAAAGCTCCAAACATTAGCCAGGCCTCTTCTTTATTCAATCAAGGCCTTTGGCGCTGCTGCTCGGGCCATTAGACACTCCAAATCCTCCATGGGCTTCGTTTACTCGCTTACCGGACATGTCTCGGTAGAAAATAAGTCTAGGCCTCATAGTTGATCCAAATGGCTTCATTCCACTTCGACGTGATGCATGACTCAAGTATCTATCTTTCCATATCAAGATCGTAACTTTTGGACGTCGGGAACTCCTCCGCGCGCGGCCAAACTTCCGAAGCTTCGTTCTGCGCGCTAGCGAGAACTAACACTTGGAGATAAAATGATCTTCTTGACTTGGAAACTTGCATGGATCTTGATTTAGGGCTCTTTTACTCCTTTTTGCATCCTTTTTGATTATTTCACCTACAAGAAAACTACCTCTAAAGGCAAAGAATCTTGCAAAAACCGTTTGAAAACATAGGTAAATATATAGTAAAATCATGTAAAATATGGTGATATCAAGTCTTTAGAGATGTAGGCGTTTTTGGTAGATCGATCAACTCATAGTGCACCTGTGGTAAGATGTATTGCCAAGAACTGCTCAATGGTCACTTAAACATTAGTACAACCATGGTTAGATCCAAGATAAGGTCATGATTCTCGACAAAAATTTTGACTCAATAAAAACGACTCGATAAAAAGGGAAAAATGCAAATGAAAATGCCAAAATGAACAAACATTGTTAGTAATCCCCCCAGACTTAACTTGCACCGTCCCGGTGAAATTAAATCGGATTAAGAGAGGCATAACATGAAGTTCAAATGAAAAATTGAAAAGAAAAAGGTTTAGGATGATGTTACCAAATGTCGACCAATTTATAATGAAGATCAGTTCTGGTTTGGGTCATTCTACACTTCTTTAGGCAATATTGGTCGGTGAGTTTTTAATTTCAGGCCTTGGTTTCCGCCGGTTTGTGTTTTGGCCGAGATTGGTATATTCGGTCGGCCAAAATGTGGTGCTGTGAACTACAGAACAAACCGTCAAAAATTTCATGACCTATATTGAAATTTCATCGACCAACCTGGTATTTTAGAGCCTCTGGTGAAGTTTGGGAGCATTGTACGAGCGGATTGAGACTTCCTTCACAAAATGGTCAAGTCGGCTCCGGGAAGGAGTTTCCTTGGCCATGTGAAGTTTGGCTCGTTCCTTTTCGTTTCTTCCTGCATAAAAGTGTTAGTTAAGCTCAAAGAAGAGTTTTCCAACCGGTTGGCGCGCCTATGCCGTGATTTGGTTTTGTCGGCCATATTGCTTGCGCGCCATCGGCCAGAATGAGCTCCGTCGTCTATCTCATGATCCGTGATGATTTCTCCGTCCTATCTTTTGGATTTGCCGACCAAAATGTGATTTTATGGTCGCCTGTGAAGTTTGGTGGACTTTGGTCACGCCGTTTAGGAGTTGGCCGTAGTTGGCTTCCTTGTGCGCGGTATGGCCGAGAGAAATGTCTGGATTGAATTTCTTCAAATCCACTCGGGCCAATTGAGATTTTCTTCGATCGAATTGTTTTAATAACCCTCCTGTGTCATTCCCAAGTGGTGGCCGCCTTGTTTCGTGTGATGGCCTATGTATCTCCTTTTAACCTCCCTTTGGCCGCCATATGCATGTTGGTTTTGAGGTTGGTTATAGGTTTGCTCTATTTCTCCTTCCTGTCAAATGGTTAACTCCTTGCAAAACACTTGAAATCATGATTAGATGGTTTCTCAGATTGTGATCCTCAAGTGACCACTTGAAGTTCACAATCCAAGAGATTAAAGCACAAACTATAAATTCTTATTTGGTCTTGGTCAATGATCCAAATTTCAAACTATAGTTCAATCTCTTGTAATTTCAGTGAGAAAATGAGTTTTGACAAGTGATTATGTATTCTTTCCAATCATCAAAAGTAAATCAAGTTAAACCATGAAATATATTTGATAAAGTGCAATGGTTTAAACGATTTTTCAAGTGAAGATCAAGAGTGATTAGAAATGAATACTAGGTGAGAGTTTACTTACCTTTTGGAAGAGAAACGCCTTGTACAAGGGTGGGCTCATTGGGTGGGACACTTCCATTGTTTGGTCTCCTTTGGGTCTTCATCCTAAGAAAATATTTTTGTATTTTTGTTTGATTTTTGAAAAACTCCTGCAAAATAGAAATAATAGTTAAAAACCATATGGGTTGCCTCCCATAAAGCGCTTTTGTTTTAAGTCATTTAGCTTGACTCCTTTTCTTTCTTTCAATCGTGGTGAAGAGTGGCTGAAGGGCAAAGGATCCCTTTAGCTTCTCCATTCTCCGGTGTAGTGGATTCTTGTGGTGGTGTTGTCGCGCCATAGTCATCTCTCACATCATCTTTGAAAACCAATGCCTTGGGGAAAAGCTTCATAGTTCTCTCAAGCTTCTCTTCAATGGATTGGTCACCTTTAAGCTCCGAATCTTTTGGTGTAAAGATTCTTATCTTGTGAAAGAGATTAGGTGCACCATTAGTCTCCTCTTCAGCTCCATATTCAAAGGTTGGAAGTGAGATGGAGTTGATTCCTTAAAGACATTTTCATGCCTCGGCTCCAATGTTTTCTTCTTCTCCTTTGGTTTTGGGTAGCGCTCACTCTCTCTTCTTTCTCCATGCATCACGGCTTCTTTCTTAGGCGTGAGAGTGGCTTCTTCTGGTGGTAGCTTGGTCGCACTTGGCACTGACCTGAAATTTACACTTGGGAAAAAGATATCTTGCCGGATGTGGCCAAAAGATAGATGATTCCCAAAGTAGTTTAGGACCGCTCCAGCTGTAGCAAGGAATGGGGTTCCAAGAATCAGTTGATTCCTCTTTGAGCCTTCCCAAATCATGACTTGAAAGTCAGTTGGGACCGATCGACCCCCTATTTCCATCATGACATCTTCAAGCATTCCATAGGTTCCATGCACGATAGATCCGCGAACTCGACTCTTATCTTGGGGCTCTTGAATTCCTTGAATCCCAAATCTTTTGCAAGTGCAAGAGACATTAGATTAACATTAGCACCAGTATCACATAGGCAATCGTGGAGTTGAATGCCATTGATACTTGAAGTTATCACAAACTTCCCCGGATCTTCTTGTTTTTGTAGTGGCTTGCCTTCAAGTCTTCTCTTGTAAGCTCTTCTTGATTCCCAACTGTATCTCTCCGGTTTGTGCCTCTCCTTAGGCTCATTTTCTTCTTCTTCCCCTTGAGATAGTGTAGGAACAATAGTGCCATCTATAGATGAGACAACACTACAAAATTTTTGAGTGTTTACCTCATTTTGTTTCTTGGCCGCCTCGGCTGTTTGAGCGATTTGCACCTCAAGCTTTTGAACGTGAGTAGAGAGAGACCCAAACTTGCTGCTTAGATCACCAAACATGTGATCAAGCTTCTCATATAGGTTCTTGGTGATCAATCTCTGCTCCTCCATGTATTTCTTCAACGCCACGTCAACCTTCTCTCCGGTTTGGGTTGGATTTGTTTCTTGAGAAAAAGTGAATGGTTGCTTCACTTGGTACATCCCTCTTGGATAGACTTGTTGTGGCTTGGATTGGTATTGGCCTCCTTGATACGCTCCTTGATTGGGGTAGACTTGGTCATTTGGATTCTCCACATTGTTGCTCCGGTATGATAGGTTTGGATGCGCGCGAAATGGTGGATTGAATCCTCTATTCCCATAGTTTCCTCCAATGTAGTTGACTTCCTCTAGATTCTCTTCAGCGCCATCTCTCATGAAATCCATAAGAGTGTCTTCATTTGTGGCTAGGGCATCTTCAATGGCGTGAACTCCTTGTCGGCTTTTAAGTAGTTGTGAAACCATGTTCCTTAGCTCCGAGATTTGAGCTGATTCTGATGAGCTCGTGGTCTTCACGCTTCTATTGTAGTCAGGGCATGCATTGGCATCACTAGCAGCGAGATTCTCAATCAAAAGCTTTGCCTCCGGCACCGACTTGGTCATGAAATTACCATTGCTCGCGGTATCGAGAGAAAGCTTGTATTTATGATCAATCCCATTGTAAAAGATGTTCCAAAGGTTACCTTCTGAAAAGCCATGGTTAGGGCAGCTTCTTGTGTACTCCTTGAATCTCTCCAAAGCTTCATAGAATGACTCCATTGAATCTTGCTTGAAACCAGAAATCTTGCTCCTTATAGAGTTGGATCTTTGCTTAGTGTAGAATTGGTTCAAGAAAGCTCCCTTGTATTCATTCCATGTTGTAATGGACTGAGGTGGTAAAGATTTTACCCATCTTAGCGCCTTGTCACTTAGAGAAAAAGTGAATAGCTTGCACTTGAAGTAATCCGGCGATACTCCATTAACACGAGTTGTGCTACATATCTCCTCAAAGGTGTCGACGTGATCAAGAGGATGCTCAGTGGGCAAACCATGGAATTGGTTTTGCTTCACCAAGGCAATGATCTGCGGTTTGATCTCAAAATCGTTCCTTGGAGGTAGAGGCGGTCGGATTGGATTCCGATCCATAAAGAAAGGCATCGGACGAATCAAAGTCTCCCATAGTTTGGTGCCTTGGATGCTGCGCGTTTGGCACTCTCCTTGGAGGTGCGTGAGGTTGGTCTTGAGGCATCCCTTGGTTGTCACCGTGACGATGATGTCCATTTGCAAACGCCGGTGGTGGTCGCGGCGGGTTAAGAGGTGGCTGTAGCGGCTCAGCTGCATCGGGCGCGTTCGGATTGGGTGGAGGAACGTCTCTGGCCGGTGCTGGCTGGTCAGCTCTAGCTTCTGCTGGATTAGGAGGATCATTGGCTCTCCTCTCTTGGTCGGGCGGGTTGTGTGGCCTATTTGGCGCGCCTTCTCCGCCTGGATTCATTCTTTCTCTCCTTAGTCGCCTAAGTGTGCGCTCAAGTTGGTCAATGTCAAGATCTTCTTCAATGGTTGTATTTGGATTGGACCTTCTTGTCATGCACCTTAGAAACACACAAAGAGAGAGTTAAGTAAAATTTTTATGATTTTTAAGATTTTATGAAAAACAAAAACAAAGAAAAGTGAAAGATGAGATGAGCTAGTCTTGAAACAAATCAAGAGGTGTGAAGGAAAAGCAACTCCTCCCCGGCAACGGCGCCAGAAAGCTTGATGGCGGGTTTAGATTGCCTCAAATTTTCACAATTTATAAACCCAACTAATGAGCTGCAAGTGC